CTAAGTCCTGTTTTGTCGTGACTTTTTCTGTTAAAACAAATGAGCTATTGCCCTCGCAGTCCATAACGCCAAATATGGCGTTGACAGCACCGGTCATTTTGCGTGACCAAACTCAACTCCACGATATACAGTCATGTAGAAAATAATGTTTGGTTAATATATACAATTCCTTCGCTTGAATTCTTGAAAACAACATACCTCAGCAAGTTGGGCACACTAATATCATTCAGCACAGTATTTTTAAATAAAAAAAATCAGACTTTAAAATTAAATCAGATTAAAAAAAAATTTAAATCGATTTTTAAAAATTGATCTTTGTATGAGTTGTCCAGAAGGCTTTTGGTTCTGAAGTTCAAGACATGAAACACCATTTTGATGACTTAAAAGGACCCATTGCTGACTGCTGAGGCTAAGTTTAGCAAATGATGAACTGTTTATTTCTAATCAGACAAAGTCCAGTTACCTGTATGCTGAAATACACCCTAACGTCTGGTATGAATAGTGTTTATGCAAAGTTCAATGGTAAAATAAGATGATTAAAGATAATGTCTTTGCTTCTTGTACACGCCTTATGTAGCATTTCAAGAGAGTTTATTGAACAGGTGTTCCAATTTTCATGATATTTGGACATACTGCTATAATGCATGTAAATAGAATGGCTGTGGAGAGTGGTGAACATGTATAGCAGGTAAATGTCGAGTAAGTGGAAATATTATACACAACATGACCTACTCTGGTTGTGTGTAAATGTTTTAAGCAACATGAATTTAATTTCGCATCACTAAGTATTTGGTCTTTTAAATTAAATATTCTTTCTTTGCTCCCTTCATAAAACTTGTATACATTTTTCTTTGTTAGGAATTAGCGAGTGGTTGCTTTGGACATCGATGGAATTAATGTTTTGAAACCTTTTTGCAATATTTACTTGTTTTTTTTCACTGATTTGGTTTTCTTGCACGTATGTTTGATGCTAGTTTCATTGTTTCACGCTTGTCTCTATATAGGTTTTTTATATTGTGAAAAGGCGAATAAATCAAAACAAATCAAATCAAAATATCAAGTCATGTGCGCGGACTTGCTTAGGTAACAACTTGTCGCCTTTTTATAGTGTAGAATTCCGTTTATCGTCTGTTAGGGTTAAGAAGTGTACCTCATTTCACAGACAAACAAAAATGGATTTAATGTTAATATGACTGGTATGTGGTACTTACCCAAGTAGCCCGTTGCATGAAAATGTCCACAGAGTGAGAAATGCAAATTACCTCCCCTGTAACCAGTTGGGACAACTCGAGCTGCTTGGACGGTTGCAATGCTTGTCTTATCTGGTCAGATGATGGAGTGCCGAGCGGGGCACAATCTCGGCCTCTCTTCACCCCGAAGCACCGTCCTTACACTCAGCCTTATCGGCCAATCTCTGAACCTCACACCATGCCAGCGCTGACAGAATTCCAAGATAAAACTTGCAAGAGGCTACACTGGAACTGTGTCAAGATTCGTCTTCTTTCCTGGCTTGAAATTCCAAATGTCGTGTGGGGAACAATTAACAGCAATGGATTTTTCCACTGAAAAGGACTGGCTGGAGATCATTGAATAGGGTCGCAGCAACGCTGATACCACCTGTTCAAAATTCCTCGTCGCAAAGCGACAACAAATAGCTGCGCGCTTTGGGCGTCACATCGCGACGGTGCGCTGTCGTTGATAATGGACCCTTTCACCGTAGGCAATTAGGCCAGGTGTTGGCGGCGTCCATTTAGCGTTCCTCAGTAAACTGTAAAGATGATATCCCAGCAGTTAATGGCAGGAAGCCAGTATCAAAATGGCGGTGATCAAAGGGCGCTCACTTGTGCCCAAACTCAAGTCGGAGATCCGAGAAACCTACAGTTTATTGTAGAGTTATCTATCAGACTGGTGAATCCAGATAATGTCAAACTACCGGTATTATTCCTTGTATCAAAAACGGTGCGCTCATGAAGATTTGAGTGTCTCTGGTATTCAACATTTCATCTTTGTTGGCTACCTGGGTGACCTTTGAGGACGATCTTATACAGCCGAAGCACAGAAAAGGCTAAAAAGGCATCATATCAGACGTGAGTTTAATGTTTGTTCAGACGACAAAACCCACACCGTCTTACCTCGAAGCAGAGGGAAGAGAGTCCTCCACACCTCAGTCTTCATTCCAGTTCTCATGCGCTTGGCAGCATGCACGTGATTTCCCAATGCGAAACGATCGCATCTCTTCTAATTTAGTGCACTCGTCCTCTCTGCGCTGTTCTGCTTATGGCAAACACGCTCACACACGGGGCAAACACGAGCAGCGAAGACTGAGGGGCGCAGGATATCGCATGAGCAGAAATGAATACGCAGACATCTGTGGAACAAGGTTACTATGGATACGGCGAGGTAGAGCCGCGCATGGCTAATGATGCTATAGTATGGTTATGCACGTATCAGACACGGGTGAAAAAGGACGAAGAGGAAGTAAAATGGTTCAATGGGCTACGCACGATGATGTAACGGGTTCCAGACTGATATGCGTCATTACGGCGATCACGTGCGGGAAACGAAACAGATTGGACTTTGGGTATAATAGCGATTTAGTAATGATGTTACCAAAGAAAGCATTTTGGCTGGAAAAAATCTCCTTAGACATCTTGCAATTAAATAATGTTGTATCGGTACTCTGTATCATCATAAGACCAGAAACAAGTTCTGAAAACGAGGAGATTCACTCGTCGCCAGGGATATGCTGCAGCTTGCTCGGAGCGAGTGTTATCGGGTATATCACTCACAGAATGAATGGTAAAAAAGAAATCATACGAAAACACCCTCAAATAGCAAAAATAAAGGAGAGCCATTAGCAAGCAAGCAAGCAAGCAAGAAAGCAAGCAAGCAAGCAAGCAAGCAAGCAAGCAAGCAAGCAAGCAAGCAAGCAAGCAAGCAAGCAAACAAACAAACAAACACCCCAACACCCCAACAAACAAACAAACAAACAAACAAACCCCACAAATAAAAAAAAATAAAAACAAATATCAAAGTATTCACTCTCCTCAAACAGCAGACAAAACAAATGACAATCTTTATCTAAAAACCCAATTTGAGACCTAGTATGGAAAAAGGGGTAAAGGTGAGAGTTTTCGCTCATTAAAAATGATTACAGAAATTTAAAATCTTTTGCTTTTGAAAACATCCCAACCTAATGAAATACTTGTCACAGTCATTGTACAAAATGTTCAATTAAAAATATAAAAGATTAATCATTTAGTGAAGCACAGCACACGATGTTAAAGGCAGAATTGAAACTAAACAGGACAAAAGTGAAAGAGGCATAGCTTTCTTTATTACCAATTCAATCAACCAATATCGATTTGTTTGATGCATCTGAAGTTCACCGTTGCGTTTAGTGACATAAAAGGATAAAAATGAAAGCACTACTGTGAACGCGATAAATATAATAAATAATTCTGCAGCTGTACATCAGTAGACTGGAATTATTTTGAATTAGATGTGCAGTGCGAGGTCGACCACCTGAAATAAGAACGTCGGCTTTCTGAAGAAAAGTCCGCCTCTACAAAATTCCTGTCGTCAGTATTGTGTACAAGTTTCTCGGGGCGTCGTCAAACTTGCTTGATGGGACAAAACCATGCAGTTCTAGTGAAACCATACAATTCACATAGTACTTCTGGACACAGAAGTCATCGACTTTTCCCAGTATCAGTCTATTTATGTATACACAGGACATAAACACATATGGTACAGATACATAGTTCACACTGAACGAATGGGGTCTTTCTTTAAACAAGGTTTTGCCCTTGTATAGACGTATATAATTCGCACCGTTTTCTCAGTGTGGCCCGAGAGTTGCAATAAATCACAAGCTTGTTCGAGTGGGGTTCGAACCCATGGCTTCCTCTCTACAAGTGCAGACAAGTGAACATGGCGGATTTTAGAAAAAAATGGGTATATCCGGTTCTGGTTTTAAGACCTACTTTCAATTATGTCCAGAAGCTTAATAAAAAATGCACCATGCGATTACATGTTCCCACACTTGATTTAATCAGGTATCCAGGTACAATTTGTTTAAGACTAAACCGTACCATGGAGGAAGAAAACTTTGATTTACGAAGGCCATATTTTTGTGACATCATATTTCCTGGTGCTTAATTGCAAAGGTGTAACTGAACAAGAATCAGATGTTTAATCAACGGATCGGACGTTAGACTGCTGCTACAAACAACGAAAAAAACGAACAAAAAACAAAACCACCCGATCCACTGTGAAATGACAATTTAACTCGCAAAATACTTTCAATATTTTGAATACTGATGATCAGGTTCAGAATGCTTAATTATGACGAATTCGTGTTTCCTTCGTACAGGCTCAATTTGTAACTCAACCATACATTTATCAACTCGAACAAATTAATGTGTACAATTTGGCTCCATCGTAATACAAAACGATTGACTGAATGAGTTGTTCCATGGTTAGTCTGGTTCCCTGCCCAAAGATTCCCTGACGACACTTGATATAAATAGATATGATGCCAGGGTCAGGGGTCACAAGTTGAGAGGCGTTTTACATTTCATTACAAGTGGTGTATCTTGTATGACGTCGACGACGCGGGCATTATAGTCTGCATTTCGCCAAGCATTGATTTCGGCCAAGGCGAACTTCGATTTCAGTGTTATGTCTTGGTCACGTGGAGATTGGATGATGCCGTACCCTTGATTCATATAGTAGTCACAATCATCGGGTCTGGTATCCACACTATTCCGTAGCGTATGTCCTTGCATTTTGACCAAAATAGCAGTAAGACGTAGTTTAGAAAAATCAGTGAAAAGGTTTTGCGTCAGCAAGCTCCGTAAACATCACCCTCATTAAAAGGAAATGATGAAAAAACAATGAAATTTTACTTTGATGCAAATAATGTAATAAGTAAAAGAATATTTAGATACATAAAAACACCATGCTAAAAAGGTAGAAGGTAACCACGACCAAAGCTGAAAATTTCACCTTTTTATTAATTATTAATTTGATAAAGGCCCAGGGATGTTTCAGTCTATAGACAATATTATGCAATAACTAATATGCACCTCAAGGCCCTTCCTGAATCAGCTTATAGCAAAGTTTCAAAGGAAAAAGAACGAAAACGAACATTCTGTTGTGAACATGAATATAATGAGTCATTTAATAAAACTGAGCACAGTGACTTGGGAAAAACAAATTGCTTCTTCTGCAAAGGTTGGGTGTTTTGCCATTATGTGGAGTGTTGGCAATAATTTGAAAGAGCATAGAATAGTACTAATACCGTATTGTACCGGACTACTGATACACACAATACCACCCATTGTCTTTGTCACCTAGTCCTTTGTTCACCAATTTTAAGGAACGCTACACCAATCAGAAAGAACATGGCCTTTGCTGCAAGTAAATGTGCTTCTTTATGTTTCAATTAATTTATTGGGCGAAGTATGTTAGACAATGCAGGATAAAATAGAATGCCATCAGCAAAACAAGCCACATTTAACGCTGTCATTTTAAAAGTTCCTATGACATCCCTTTAAACTACAAGTTGGATGTCTTAACCAAATGCAACATATCAACGGCTGTTACAGTGTTTTCATGGCCCAAGGAAACCATGATCCTAACATAGTATTACAAAAGAAAAATCCAAACTGATGTGAGGAATCAGGAAGTCGCTCTTGAACGTAACTGAAAGACTTAATGGCATATAAAATTTATTTCACAAAATAAAGGTAAAAAGTAAATGCCATTTTGCCCTCATGATTTGCAGACCATACAAATGATATCTTTTCTGAGTTTCATGCAAACAAAAAACTGTTTTGTTCTTCTGAACAAATCTGATATTTAGACTTTTCACTCTGCATGTGGCAAGCCAACATATAAAAGACATAAACATACTGCTGTCTGTTGAAATCCAATGCTGTTTTTCACGTGCAAAAATGTTTGATGGTATGTCTAAATACAGCTCTACTATGCACAATCATTTACATGTACTTGTATAAATATATAACCACTCATTTGAAGCACCAGTGAATCACAAGACATCTTTTCAAACTTTGGGGGTTTGGCCAAAGCGCCCTCTGCTGTTGATGAATCAATGTGTGAGGCTAGCAGATCCAGGAACTGCTGCTTTGAACATATACACCCAGAGGTGTGTATAGACAGAGTAGCACCAACGTATTGTGTGCAATACAGTATGCAGCTATTGTGTGCTAACTGTCCATGTGCACTGATGCATAATCCACCATTTTGAATCCAACAATCGAGACACTCATGTCACAAATGTCTTGATAAACAGCTCTGTATACGCCACATAAACACTGCCCTCTTTTGATGCAGATTTGCCAGTGGCACATTTTTTCTAAGAGGCTGTCCTTGTGCAAAGTTCTCTTCTCCTGTGGATGTGGATAGTCATATCTTGTCACAATAGCTAGTTTATGATGAAAACCACAGCCCCAGCCATCACAACCTCTGAGTATTAAAGACATGGCTAACCAGTTTTGTGAAGAGCTTTTGATTAAATGTAAATGAAGTTATTGCTGATGGTTTACAACAAACACTGTTATAGGTGGTTTCATCGTGAGTTGATAAAAATGATAGCTCATAGTCCTGAGTTGATAAGTCTTCACAAAAATAGATTGGTGTATCGTACATGTAACAGAAAATAGCACTTGGCATTTCTTACATACAGCAGGTATACAATGAGGACTTGTAGCTAACCCTAAGGAAAATGTTATGTCATGTTTACATGAATCTAGAACACCTGGTCGGCAAACAGAAAGTCTATGGTTCAGGTCCAGCCTGGCATAGCTGTCTTACAGGTCTTGCCAAAACTTTAAAAGGTTCAGTCATGTGGCACACTGGATTACATCATTACTGATCAGTCGACGTTGTCCCCTGCTGCAGATTAGGAAGAGCACATGCGTGCCAATTGTCGTGGGGATTTGGGCATCACAAATGAACTTGCCCGTGTTGGCTCCACAAGTCATGCAAGAAAGGACTTGGGCTCTCTGAAGTCTGGAATAAATCAGATGAAAGCACACTATGCTGTAAGGTCAGCTTTGGAGTGGCCAAAAGCCACTGACCAGACAGGATTTTTTTAGAGGACAGTAAGGACTAGCAAAGGCAAGTCCTCACATGTCTAACACGTCTCTCATACATCACACTTGACAAGATAGTCGGAAGCTGGCTGATTGGTTGTTCATGAAATGCTTTGAGGACAGTGAGCTTGACCATGGCTCTTCATGTCCTCATAAGCCTCCAACAAATACAGTCACAAAATGTACTGCATATGAATTCCACCAGCCGAATTTGATACAGTGAAATGCAACACATCACTATGGATTCTCAGCAGTGCGAGAAACACGTCCTCAGAATTTTACAAAGCATAACGCCACACCGTCTGATGAGGTCCTCTTTGACAAGGTATGTAGGCCCAAAGACCTGAAAAAGTTCATAGCATAAGGAATATTTCTGAGGACAGCAAGCCTTCCTAGCCTGTGAACCAACTTGTCCTCACTGCTCCTTAAAGTACCTCCACAGTGTCAACTGTGTATCAATGACTTCCACAGTGCTCAATGCACGACAGCCCAGGTGGATCCTGCTGAACGAAGACCCTAGTTCCTGGGTTAGACATTGGTGCATGGGATGTTACTGAGGACAGCCAGCCCAGCCACGGCCCGGCACGTCCCCATGGGCCCCTGGCAGTGCCACTCGCCCAGCTGTGTGTCGAAGACTTCCACGGTGTTCAGGTATTGAACCCCATCATGACCTCCCACGGCGTACATGAGGTCACCGACCACCACGCAGCCGTGACCAGACCGGCACTGCGCCATTGGAGCCAGAAACGTCCACCTGGAAAGACATCAGAGGACACAGTGTTTGTGACTGGTCAATGATAAAGACTCTGCTCTTAAAAACAAATGAGTCTCATTTCATTTTGTTACTCTTTGAAAGAGTGAGATGCTGTCTAATTTTGAGAGCCGAACCATAATAAACGCAATATTTTTGCTGTAGATTTTGATTTCCTGATTTTCAAAATTCCTGAATATCTGATGCACTAAATACTTTTCTTGTGAAAAACTAAACATACTAGAAATAGAAATCCAGCCTTAACAAATCAAATAAATTTGAGCTTTTATATTTATAAAAGTGTAATATTCTTTCAATTTTTTTTTTAGTTTTTAAACGGTTTGCAACTGTGATGTCACAATATGGCCCAATTTCCTGTTCTGCGGTTCACTCAGAAATACAAACAAAAGAGGAATAAAAAGAAAAGAGAAGATCCACAAAAATACAACAACTATGGAATAGTTTTGTCAGGATTTTTTTAAATAAACAATTATCTTTTCTTGATTGGTCGTACCTGTCCTCCTCTGGGTAGTATCTCTCCAGTGTGTTGAGGTTAGATTGTCCATCATAGCCTCCCATGGCATACAGCCTCCCTCCAAGAGCAGCCACCCCAACACCCCCTCGTCTGGAATGCATGCTGTCCACTGGAATCCACTGCGGCAAATGGGAATGAAGACAGGGACCTGTCAATCCACTGCTATAATTCAGGGGTCAACTTTTAGCTACAGTGGAGGGACTATTTGTGATGTAGCACTCAGGCACAGAACATTTTAGCCCCTTGCAAATAGAGCACAGCATGCATGCACGTTGTGGTGTACCCTCCCTACATTCCGAGACTGCTAGGCTATCTGGCACATGAACTCTGGAACGTGCAGGGGGCGTATGAGTAACCCCTTTCCCATGTGACATACCTGATTTAACCTGGGGTCGTACTTCTCTATGCTGTTCAGGTACGACGTCCCATCACTTCCTCCGACTGCGTACAAGTAATCACCCAATGCTGCGACACCTATGTGCCGACGTTTGGTCTCCAGGCTACCGACTCTCCCTGGCAAAGTCAGACAAAGTTTGATTTACAGCAGTGACTTCAGTACCTACAAGTTCTCACTCATCCTCATGCACATTCACTTCTGTATTACACAGACACTGACAAGTAGCCGATCATCCTTTTACATTAATTGCAGATGCAGTGACATGAAGTTAGTCAAGGCAGTGCACTGGATAACTGTTCAATTTAAAAAAAGGGAGTTCCTCACTGTTTCTGGCAACAATTGCGCTAATATTTCTGGAATAATGTGAATAGGAATTTGACAAACTCTCAGCATTTTGGATTGAATCAAACTTTCCAGCTTATCAAAGTGTCAGTCCATCCTCTAGTGTGCCCTGCCAATTTGCAGGGCAAGACATTTGTCATTTGCTGGTGTAAGTCTAAAAAGTCCAGGAAACAAGGTGAATGAAATATATACATGTATGCCAAAGTAGCTCAGAAAGGACTACAAGTGTTGCATTTTCTATTGTTCTCAAAGTGATAACTTAAGAGTACACCGTTATGAACCCTGTAAGCCACAGACAGAAAAACATGCGATTACGTTTTGCAGAATTTCGGTTGGACTTACACCATCGGTTTGTTCGTGGGTCGTAGGTCTCCACTGAGTCCAGCACAGTGGAGCTGTCATATCCCCCAACAGCGTAGAGCTGCCGGTTATGAGCTACCACGGAGTGGTAGCGTCGGATGTGGAGCATGGAGGCTACACGGTGCCAGCGTCGCGTAGTGGGGTCCAGACACTCTACTGTGTTCATGTATTGGCTCCCGTCGTAGCCACCTGGGGGCACAAAGGCAGGGTGAGTGGAAACAAACAAGGTGACAGCTAATACACTGTATTCATGTGTCGGCCATCTTGAATTGAAAGTGAAGTTAACTTTCCATTTTAGGAACCTGAGAGTGAAAATTATGGCACCCAATAACAGTTCCTAACGAATTCTTACCAGTTTACGTTTAGAATCACTTGAAATTTGTGATAAGTTATGTTTAAACGTTTTAAGCCACATTTTTAGAAAATGAAAGTGGGGCTTGGAACTGAAAATAGTCTGGCACCTACCCATAACAGATTACACGGAATATAATAGGCAGAGTCTACAGAAGATGGGTTGGAACACTGTGTTAATCTTTGAATTTTGTTGAACAACACTGAAGTGTGTCTCCTCTTTAAGCAAAGATTACAACTAAAAACTACTCCCTCATCAAATTCAAGTGAATTTCTCCCCGTTGGGCATTCTCCAACTCCACAGGGCTAGAGTAAGACCTCATTTTGGTCCTTTCATCACCCACCTATGGCATACAGCTTGCCGTCCAGCACAGCCACGCCCACTCCACTCCGGGGTGAGTTCATGCTGGCCTCTATGCTGACCCGGCCGTTGCTGAGGTTGTAACGTTCCACGCTGCTCAGTGAATGACCGGTGCTGTCCATTCCTCCAATACAATAAATGGAACCTGCAAATTGCGATGAAATATTGCTCCATCTACAGTGTGATACTCTCTGGTTAAATACTGTATCTGCAGCGTGCATGAGGCAGAGGGCGCCAAATCTGTGTTTGGTTTCCTAAACATGTCCACAAATTCTACAAGTCAGTTTTGGTGATTACGCTTGTAACACTCTGCGCCATACTGCTTGTATGTCTGAAAACTTTTGCATTCAATGCTGCTTTTCCCAAAATCCTTTGAAGTCTACCATCATTGAGACCTCAGTATACCAGGCATAAGTTGAACAAATTGGTCTAGCAGAATCTCTTTTTGCAGTGTTACCACCTCAGATTTGACAGCATCCGATGACAGGGCAAATAAGGCCCAAAACATTTTTTGTCTGGCTCAGCTGCATATTTTTGTACATGATTAGCACTTGACATGAAGCTGTGTCCAAATCGAGTCTTTTGTGGCTATGGCTCTGCACTATGAATGTACTGCCATGGTTAAAAGCCGGAGTCATAGACAATAATGCCTTTGGATTTCAAACAGGGCTACATGTAGCTTTGAAATCAGTGCATCACAGAGATGTGTGGGAGATGTACATGTATTTGTGATTTCAACATCAGTGTGAATGACCTACGGTAAAAGTGTAAAACTGCTGTAGTGGATTATCAGTCAGTAGAGAGAACATTTCAATATATAACACATGCCAGCATAGGTACATGTATGAGACAGATTTTCTTATTGATACATACTTTGAGCTACAGCTGATGATGATGGATGACATCCCCATTGAAAGGGAACAGAGTGGGAAAAACAACTAACATGACATTGGTTAGTGTTTGCTTGGTGTTGAAAAGTGATGCTGAAAGGCAAGTAGATTCCCCCTTGGGGCGTGAATTTTCCTGGACATTGTACACCTGATACAATGGTCTCCTTGGCAACCATGTCTCCCTGTTTGTTTTGCATGGAAAACTGCTGCATATGCACAAGCCCAGAGCGATACCTCCCGGCCAAACAAACAGAGGTGCTTGTCCATTGCAGCTGATGAGGTAAATGCGCTTGAGTCAACACGCTACAATAGCCTGCAGTGTACAATTCATGCGTAACAGCTTTGGGCGATTTCTGCACCACACTAAAGGCTCATTTTATGCAGTATTTCCAGTGTTCACTTTTATGTGTGTGTTACAGTCCGTACTTCGAGTCTCTAAGTAGGATTGCTTTAGTCAGCATTCCAAATAGCACATCTGGATTTGCCTTGAGATGTACCGGGTACAAACAGGATATTAATATTGTTGAATTATTACAATTTATCTACATTTGAGTAGGAAAATAAAGTGTCAGAGGTGACCTATAAAGTGTCCACAGTTGCCAAGATGCCACCACACCTAAATCTTCTTTTGCACTGCAAATACATGAAAAGGCACATTCAGCTTAGTATAGTCAGCTTCACTGTAAGGGCAAATTCTCTTGAGTTCCTGCAAACTATGTACAGTAACGTGTATATAATTTTGAACATGACTGTATGCTGCGCATGTCTGTGGAGAGGTGAGGAGAGGACAGGGCATCAAAACACATTCATATCTTGTCCTCACTTAGTAGATTAGAGAACACAACTTGCAGTAGAATAGAGAGGAAAGTGTGGGCAAATTGATAAGACTTTTTCTCACATTAATCTGAAAGTTTTTCAGACTATTTTTTCTGAATGGTGTCACCTTCAAAGATAGAGGGAAAGCCTCTTTCCAGATCTCTCGGGTGGCCTTTTGCTTTGAATTTGCTGATGGACTTGTGAAGTGATCCCCAGATTAGTTGCAAACTGGGTGTGTTTCAACTGATACATACAAGATATTTGTGAATATAGGGAAGGAATGTCATTATTTTGGGGGCAAGGCCACTTTGGCCTTAGAAAAGCCAGTAGGATAAGTAAGAAAAAGGCCATGACTGCAATTATAACACAATAAACACAAGGCTTACATGTATTACAAGTAGAGATTAAGATTCCAGCAGCCATTCACTTTTATTTGTAACTGCGTGAAATTTACCAGGAAATGGTGTCTTCCAGTTTCCTGGCTCATTTTATACGATCCTTATGGGGCATTGCTGACCAATCACAACGATCGATGGACCGATGATCGTCTGTTATCGACATCTGATTTACAAAACTTTGGGCCATGATGAAGAAAATACGTAAGAAAAGCAGAGTAAAATTCACGATGTCTGTTTGTTGAACTAAACAGTCTTTGCAATGAACACATGTTGCATTTATCTGTCACACATACCGGTAGCCGATGTTACTCCCTCTGGATTAGGATGTACAACTACGGTAACTTTCAACGAGGGTTTTTCAAATTACATGTAACTGAAGCAGCTTTTCCAGTCTCTGGTAACTTTACAGTCTTTAGTCAAGATGCACTTGGCACCGGTGCACCATGAATGCTTGGCTGGCAACAGGAACTTACATGCATGGTGGCCCTCGTCATGCTAGCAGCTTAAACTGTGCCTCGCGCGCCTTGAGTAAAAGCTGGTAATTTTGTGCGACAAACGGTTCATGTACATGTATAATGTAAGCACCATACATGTACATGTACTTCGGCAGACCATGTGTGAACGATACACACTGTACATGTACATCACAATTGGTGCAGTCATTGTACTGCATTACATATTCTGGAATCATGCAGTCACTGCAGCGAGGGGAGGGCTGGTCACCAGGCTGCAACATTTTTACACTGGGTGTCGGTCGTGAGTGAAGAGCACTGTGGAGAATGTCGATGGACAGAGTTAAGCTTGAAATTCCTGTTTTTCCTAAAAAGGGCACTGCAACTTAAGTCCGGCTATTTTTCAAGGGGCATCACAGCAACTAAAAGGGCACTGATGGCAATGGCAGCTATGGCTATTGTGAAATTCCTTCCCTGTGAATAGGTTACAGATGTTGACCAAACTTGACCACTCATGGGCCAAGATTTGATCCCCCCACTCCAAGCCATACCCACCACTGACCTACTGTAGACCTGCGAGGCCTGATTCTCTCCTGTTGCATGCGTGTCCTCCTGTCGGGCAGCATGTGGTAGTTCTTGGCCTCGTCCAGCAGGTCCCGACACTTGATGTCCTGCTTGATCAGGTCCTCGGCCTCCACCGTGTCCACCAGGAAGCGGGGAGAGAGCAGGGGCATGCGGATGGCCCGCAATAGGTCAGCAATCTCCCCCCGCCGTGCCTCCTTGTCGTGGTACACCCAGCGCATGATGGCATTGTACACCTCTTCCTCGCTGCGCACATTCAGGTCCTCACACTGCAGCAGCTCGGCCAGTTGGGGCTTAGCCAGCTGCAGGAATTCCTCCTCGTTGGCAACCTCAGTGAAGTGGCGCTCGGCGAACTTACCAGAGGCCTCTACTAAGTCTGTGCAGGTGTGGGCGTCGGCAAAGTTGCGAATTCCTAGATCAACACCAGCGATTAAAAAATGGCACTTGTACAACCAATTTGTATCTGCCAATAAACTCTTGTATCAACAATAAAGTACATGTCAAAAAAAGTTACCATACATGTACTTTGAATTTAAACTGTGCATAACATTGGGGGTTCCTAGTTCTGACTGAAACGCTTATAAAACAATGGAATTGTGAAAGGCCTGCTTGTTATAATTTGTGACACCAAATATTCTACCAGTGTATAAAAAGTTGACATGAACAATATCATTCAATGCAGCACTGAACACTTAACAGAGCAATGAACCCCAAGATATGAACACTCCCGTGCAGTGTTCCTGCAGCCTTTTATCTTTTTTACTTTTTATCTTATTTGGTATACTACCGGGTATATTGTGTTACTTTGCCTGAATTGTAAATTAGCAATAATTCAGCCATACCTTAGGACTGCCAATGCTACAGTAATTACTTTAAAAAACCAATAATCATAATATGGCATGCATGTACCATAACCTGACAAACAGATATATCTTTAAGAGCACATTTTGACTTTATAAAAGTCTTTACTAATGAAATGTAAAAGCTGTGACATCAGTGGGAGTTCAGTCAAGGAGAAAATAACCCACTTTCAAAAATAGCATGTCGGAAAGAGTATTCTAAATATACACATTCATGAAACATGCTTCACTAGACCACATTTGCTGTGTAAACATATATTTGTACCTGGCTTACACATACTTCAGTGTCAGGAAGTAATCCATATTTTCTTGCAGCTTAAAGCCCTACTGGGCTCTATATCAGGATGGGATTGTGCATCACCATAGACTTACACAACCAGTCCTTCATACAAGATAATACCTGGGTGGATGCCTCCTGCATGTACTCCACCCAAAATGGTGTCCACTGTACCTGGACTTTTATTTCCCACTTTTCTTACCCAGACCTTAGAAGCTTCTGACAAAATCTTTCAAGTAGGGAGGGCAACTGCTTGTTGGATGATCACGTGGCAAATTTAAAAAAAAAATAAATGAAAACAAAGAAAAATGGTCTGTATATAAATCAATGAGTTGGTTTGGTGACAACTTGCCACAATGAGATTGCAGTTGGCAGTGTCTTGCAGCAGAGTGTATGATGGGGCAGTGTGAAGGGAAACGTAAAAAAATGGTGATACTTTTAGGTTGTAGTCAAACCTGTCTTGTTCATAACCTGAGGTCCTTACCCAGGCAGTTAGCAGGATGCAGCTGTCTCTTGAGGAACTCAGAGCAGGCCGTCTGCACATCGCCCAGTTGTATCATGGCAGCTGTGTCCAAGAGTGACTGGACTGTGTCTATGTGAATCTCCAAGATCCCTGGGGGGCATGGCGAGACACATGTAATAACGGTGAGGCTGGGGCAAAATGTGAGATGGCAGGGGGATGAGAGGAGGACACAGGAGATGGGTGAGGATGATGGAAACCTTACGGAGGACGGAAGTAAAGAATGTGGATGATGAAGGTGATGATGATGACAAGGACCATGTGCAAGTGTGGTGTCAGGGAGGGGGGAACATATGGAGATCTGAGGGGGAGAAAAAGGAGGATGATGATGATGATGAAGACAGGTGTACAGCTTGGAAGTCAGGAATTTCAAACAGCACAAGATTTTTGCAGAGTTTTCTCAAATGAGAAAACCATCTGATCTGAAGAAAATTGACATGCCTGTAAGATGACCAACACTGGCATCAATGAGACATTCCCATCACTTAGATCCATATTTGTTGGTTTTCATCATTCAATTTCTAAAAATATATGTATTCATTATAACATGAGTAAAACAAAAGCTCTCTACAATGTTCACAAATTAATTAAGAAAGGAAAATATTGAGTAATTGTGCACGGTAACTGCTTCATGCGTGTAAGTTCTCATAGTGGCCAGAAGAGGAAAAAAATGTGTACCAAGGAGTACATGTAATGTAGTCTTGATGGACAAGCATCGATAAAATCTGACAGGTGTGGCAAATTTGTAGTCAATCTGGCTTGACTGTGTTGGGTGAGTGACCTGACCGTGTGCAAGTAAGATGCCATGAGCCTCTTGATGATCAAGAAGTGCAATGAGCATGAAGGATTCAAGACTGACAGGTCCTTGTATGTATATGCCTGGACTCTTAACAGATTAACAAGCGACAGTGTGTTTACATCGATTTTGTCATTAACGATGCCTGCATGTACAAGTATATATGTGTGCATGTAACTGCAGACCAAGGTGCTAAACAAAGGTACAGAGACAGAAAAATATGTCCCAACTATTTCATTTAAACACACATGTGCAGATGACACGTACATGTAAATGCTCGTTGGCATCAAAATGGTGTACTGTGAATGCATAATTCACATACTTGATGTATTGAACCCTTGTTGTGCTTCAAAGTAACTAGATTCTGCAATGCATGAATAAAAATGGTTTGATTTTCTGACTTCTTTGGAACCAAGAATTGTGTTGAACAGAGATCAAGTCACTGATGGGCACAGGCACAGCATTTAGTTCTAGAACATTCACTGTGTAACTTGCACAGTAATGCATCTAATCTTTTCCTTGTCAGGAGAGGGTGTCTGGAGCCAATTTTGTCATTCTTGACCTTGGGCAATGGATTTAGACATGATCTTCAAGGCTGGTGCCCTGCACATGTTTAGAAAGGCCATTTTTCTACCTGTGTATGCATATTCCACCAGCAGCTCCAGTGATCGGGGATCCACCTCCTTCATGACCACCTCCGACTGGCTGGCCTCCAGCATGTCCCCCGTGAACATGGCATAGAAGTAAGGGCTGAAGGCAGCCAATACTACGCGGTGGCCCAGAATCTCCTGCTCCCCGACCCGCAGCCGGATGTCGCATAGCTTCCTGGCCTGGCGCAGCTGGTGCATCAGCCGCAGTGCCTGGCTGCTGTAGTGTTCATGGGCCCGGTGCAAGGTGAAGTCGGCATTGCAGCCGGCCTCCAACTCATCAAAGTCCATCATTTGTGGCTTCTTGGTCTTTCGGAAGCAGTCTTTGAGGCTAACCTAAAGATGCGTCACCTCCAAGTCAAATTTGGAAACATGACCCAAACCTGTCCAAAAAACTTTCGATGATATTACTGCAGGTTTTTTTCACTCACACCTAGTACGATTAATTTTGCAGTCCTCTGCAACAGTCACACTTGCCGATGTATCAACTTAAGTTGAGTTGGGTAACACATTCAAGACAACTGATGACCTCCACACTCCTCCAATCTCAAGACATGTGCACATTCTTCCCTCACACTTTTTTCCAGGAGCTGACAGTGTGCATTTAATATTCCCAACCGAGAGCATTATTCTGCTCAGGCAACCGTATGATGCGTCATGCCGTTTTTCTGCAAGAGAACAAAACAAACACTGTCATAATAACAGTGCAATCCACCAGGACCCCGACAAGTCATTCTGTAATCTGTGCTTGTGAATCACGTGAGGACCAGCATAAATACTTGGCCAAAAGAGCATGCTCTCATAATTCATCATCCGGAAAATGATTTTAATTTCTATTCCGAACACGACTGATGTCTGTTGTCGGGCTAAAGCCTGTTCAACGCCGTGTCCATTATGGAAGACAAGTACACTGTATACATGTACATCTATAGTATGCATAGCCGATATGAACAACATGCAACATCACTGTCATATCAATTGCTGTGATGCGTAAAGTGCAGGATGAGATATCCATTCTCAATTCCACATTTTCGTGGAAGGTGAAATGCAGGCCATGAGAGCTGTGTTTGGAAAAAAAAAAAGAACGGGATAAATGTACATGTACATAACAAGGGGTAGTCACTTGGACACAAATGCAAAAAAGAAGGGACAATATTTCACGGCTGACTTTTGCGCTGCAGGGGAAAAACGGGCTTGGCAATTGACCTGACTCATTGCTTGGAGTGAATACCCAGATCAATGTTTGTCTACTTTGCATGTAAATGTACATGTATGGTATACATGTATGTACATGAACAATTGGATTAAAACTTGTACTGTAGGACAGTATTTCTTGGCTTAACGTATCCATTAAATTGTATCCTCATAAGGACCTTGTGTTCAGAACTGTCAAAACACATGGTTTATTCATACAAATTCAATTTATGGGTAGTCATACAGGGGGGTGCATGTCAATTTACATGTACATGCAATATAAAATACAACCTTCATTCATACACGTACAGAGGCATATGACATAATGTACTATACACATATGTATTTGCTTGCATAAGGTATGTCAAACAAGGCTGTGCATCTCCTAGGCATAGTACATGTACACACATCCTGACAATGTCAACACCCATACTCAACATTCTGTCTCACGTCCACGCTCTAATTAGTAAATCGTGAGGCCGCATCAACCCATTGAGAGCTAGGAAATGATCAGGCAGGCTCACTCGCTGGGGGCAGTTGATTAGGTCGTTATCCGCTGGTAAAAAAAAGTGTAAATGCGAAAGGCCACGTGGAAGACGAGGCCAGAGCCAAGAATGGCCAGTTTCCAAAAATTACTTGACTTACATGTACATATACTGGTATTTAAGCTGAGAAGAAAGTTAAAGTTCAAAACTTGGCAACGGAAAAATGAAGCCTTGCCAACATTCTTCTTCGCATTTTTCCAACAAATTCACGGCTATAAAAAAATATCACATCCCAAGTTTTCCTTCTTAAATAATTGTGTGGATGTCACTGGTATTCCATTAAAATATCTTTCCATAAACAGCTGAGCCCCTGGCCCAAGTATTCCAACCACCCATTACCGCTACCCCCAGGAATTTTGAGGATGACACTTATTGGGCTGTAAGTTTTCTTGCATCAGCTGGCTTCCCCAGAAGCGCAGCCTCAGTTCGACCGGCCTTGGCCGTTCCTGAACCTGTGGATCAGGTTAACCTATCCTAAAGAGACGGCACAGTGGGTACAAGCCCAGATCACTGGAGCTGGGTCAAGCCTGTGTTGGTTGTTGCTGTCAATTACGACCAGGCCAGACAAGGAACAAGTTCAAAATGGCTAATGGCTGAAATTCCAACACCTCATCTTGAAACAAGAGCTGATGTACATGTACATTGTACATGTAATTCAATGTGAGGGTTTAATGGACTGAGTCAACAGACAGTGTTTAAATACATGTACTTTCTGCTTTACTAAGTATCTCTTGCCTATAGATGTAAGTTGAGTTTACTACTCCAATTTTCCAAGCAGAAGGGGAGGGGGAGCTCTACATACTTTTATCATTTTTATGATTTTTGTATCTTGTCCCGATTCACCAAATGAAGAAAGTAACAACTCAAGTTTACAGAGTGATAAAAGGAACAGAATTATTTTTTTCTTCCAGCCTCAGGTTACTTACATGTACACTGCTTTCAATGGTAGAAAACCAAGACGGTTGTCCCATGATAAAGGTCTGTATTAATTATTCCACACTCCATAACATGAAACTGATTTTAAAGCAACATTGGTAGTGCCATTCTCTTATGCCAATATGCTGCTGATGCATGTTTGTGCCCATTCTGCTGAATGCTCAACTCCCAATCAAATTACAGCTTGACTTAATTTGTGTGTGCCTGCGCTGAGTCGTTCACTGGCTGCTTTGAGTATTAAAGCCAAACACTGGCACCAACAGATTCTGTACAAAGGCAAATGGCATATTAATGGAAATTAAAGACCACTAAAAAAAGGATTTCAGGTTCAGGGTTGGTGGTCAAAGTTGCACAGAATACTTTTTGCGGTCTATGTATCTGTAACAGTAGCTAACAGACAGCCAATTAAGCCTGACCTCAACCGCACCCCATGGTGACTGGATGGGCTTTGTGGAGTAATTAAAGTAAATATGCACACCAGGTGCACTCAGATTGGTAACAAAGTTACAATACAGATATAGCGAAGTACCAGTACCACCATGGAGCTGCATGGTTAATATACAAATGCTAGCAATGACCATGTCCGTCATATGAACATGAAACAACTGATGACGGCACCTCAGTGACAGGAACGACTGCAGTACCTGGTTCAGTTGAGAGTTGGCTATTTTAACATTTATTGGGTCAAAAATTCTTGCGGTCAAAAATTCTTGGAGTATCGCAGGTTGTCTATCGATGGTCAATACTACAATTTGCAAGCAACAGTCATACACTGTATACAGAGACAAGATGAATGCACAAAATGAACATGTACCTAAGACCATGTATGCTAAACAACAGTTTTAGAGAGAGGAAGTAAATACCGGTATATGAGCAAGCTTCTTGCAGTCATGTACATGAGCATGGAGGTAGGAAAACACAACTTCAGCTCTGGTTATTTCTTGTCACTCAACACACCATACTGGGCCTGCAACATGCAGCCTACCTGTAGTTAATCCTTCAGCCATATGTGTAAACTATGGCCTTGCTGCAGTACCAGTCATGAAATGAAATGTCAATGAGTGTGCATAGTGTATGTCTACATGTGTACAAGTATGTATACATGTATGTACATCAAGCCACTACAAATGACACGCCCTCCTTACTTGACATCAGTCTCCGTCAATTCATCAACAGAAATTAATATCTTGCATGTATACACATACCAGGGACATGTTAACATTAATTAGGAGTTCAATATGTTTGGTCGAATTCCATCAATTCAAATGCACACAGCACACTGTCCAAAGCACAAAATATCTGCAACTTTGAACTACGTGCCTGCCATCTGAAAACTTCACAGGCTATTCTTCATTCCTCCGATGCTTCAACTCAATCAGTAAAAAGCAGCATGCCTAACACGTTGAACCAAAAAAGTCAACTTACCCAAATTTGAAATGTACATGTATATAACAATCTGTGCAAATATAGACATGTACATGTCTGTAAGCAAACTTGGGAATGTTTGCAAGCTTGATACCACCTCACTCGTGCTTTTTCATGTGAGTTTGAAAGAAACAAAAAGGATAACAACTTAAAATAGAGTTACATTCTCTAGAAAGGGGATCAAGTCCTAGAATTCTTGGGTTCACCATCCACTACACTGCGGACGACGAACCCCAGAGTTCTTGGGGTAGAGCTAGGAGACTTCAATATGCAATTGACCACTGAACTGGACAAATTCTGTGAAGTTCAGAAGCTTAATTTTGGGAAAAGGATAGTAAATGTCCACTGGAATCTGGATGTTGTAGTCTGTGATACAGTGGGCATACATGTACATGTACACATAAGAGACATTCCATCATTGTTTCTTTATTGTTTACGGATAAACATCACACTTAGTGATGTCCACGTTTGCACCCACGAAGCCACATGTAATTGGTTAGAAAAATACAATAAGGGCACAAAATAAAATGCATATTACTTGCATGCCTACACATGCATACATACTAACAAACACATTGAAGAACAATCAAGGGTAAGTAACAAAATTTGCTGAGTCAAGTGCAGATGTGCTCTCTGACAGAACTTCATAATTCCACTGTGGTGAGGACGAGCAACTACATGTATAAGCCTTATCTGGGAGTTTGTTCCACACAGAAACATGCATTAGAATAGTGCCTTTCACTAGGGTCACTTCTTACAAACCTCCATGGTCATAATGTAAAAACAATATAAGAAATACAGACATCACGGCACTTACATGTACATGTATATGTACATACCTTGATAAAATGATTGATGTCTAAACTGTCATGCAATTCAGTATTCTTCTTGTACACTTGCCGTTCAGCTTACCATTATTTCAAACGTTCATGTGCTAGTACATGATGCATAGTAAGAGCAGAGGGATCCTGCACTGTGCATTACAGATGGGTGAGTGTACCCACCAAATGGCCCACCTTGTGGTCTGGCCATGTCCCCATCAACAATAAAAGGTCCTTTGTGTCTTGTGTCATGACACACTTGGGGGTTCTATTTAATGGGCCAGGGGAAGAGGTGTCAATCCTAGCTGTGTGTGTTTTGAACAGGTCTACATTGTTTGTATTGCCACAGAATGGGCACTCCTATGGGCTTTGACAAGCATTCCTGGCAAGATGGCTTATTATGACAACTTGACAAGGAACAATTCCACTCTGGGCCATAACTCTCCATTTATTAATTAGTCACGCAGCTTCGTATTTCCAAGAAAACCTAACCACATTTCACTGTCCTGTTCAGAAGACCTTTGCAGCCCATCGTCTGACTGAGGAAATGCAACCCTCAAGAAACACTCTCTTCAAATTTTTGTTCAATAGCGTGGCTGGCGTCTTGCTTTTAGTTATTTTATGGAGGGACAAAAACGCTCAGGACTGAACAACCCCACTGAAATTATCCAGCCATGAATCAAGTACAGTGTACATGTAAATGTCATTGCCATATGATGGAAATGAACTAGGAATTAACCCTACAGA